TCCTGAAGTTGCTTTCAGGAATCTGACCTTCCTGATAACGGGTATGTTGCGTCATTTGATAATCGGCAAAAGTCCATATTTCTGCTGAAAGATTACACTTGATCACGGTACAATACATACTATATAAAATAATAATGCGTATAATAAAGAACTTCGTACTGCATGCAATCTGCGTCAATGATTGTGGCATTCTCAGGTGGACCCCATCAGTAATGATCACACTGAATATCCTGGCTTAGTCTGCATCATCTTTCAGAAGATAATGGTGGATGCACTTCGCTTGAACACTCATATTACCTTACCATAACATACTACTTAGAAGGTTGCTGAAAACCCAGTGACACCACCATTAGCTTGAACACCAGTTTACTGGACTGTGCTCATCTGACGTACCTCAAGAGAAGTGGAGCGGGTCAGGGAGTGTTGAAAAGAGTTCAGCAGCCTTATGAGTAATATATCACGCACGAGACGGCCGTCGTACACCAGAATCACTTGTAGAATATTATAACCGAGAGATTCAGTTGATCACTCTGTAACATGTGACATTACCACTAAAGTGCTTTGTAAATTGGTATGTTTCTTCACTCAATTTGAATTGTTTCCACACGCAAATCATATCTAACTATGCTTCATCAAATTATAAGTACACTTTCAAACCAGTTATCAAGTAGGGTCTCCAGGTAAACGCGAATCGATAACCCTTGGCCAAAAAATAAGATACTGACAGTTCAGGATAGATTTAACTATTCTCACACAGCGACCGTACACTTTGTCGAACTTGTGCCTGACAACTAAATTAATAAACTAGACTTTCTATTCGTAATGCACTACTTATAAGGTTGCTGAAAATTCCTCGACAGCCCACGACCGGTTTTGCCCTTCTTGGGACTCATCAGGTAGGCACAGTCCCCGAGTTTCCGTCAACCTTATGTTCCACTGGAAACCAAATCGCACGAAATTAGCGAAATACACTCATTTGCAAACTAATTTGGTTTCTCAAGAGACTTAACCTGGAACCAGCTGAATCTCTCATTTGTAACGTTTCTAAGCCTTTCTATTGTTGAATTGTGTTCGAGTATAAGGAAAGGCGTGTGACAAATATACCAAGATTTGTTTTTCAGGGAATCTGTATCTAAAACGTCATCCTAGAGACTAATGCTCACACGATGGTAGGTCTGATAAAGCCCAGCCAGACAGCTCAAAGGAAGTTCAGCGGAAACAGCGAATGACATATTAAACCTACAATGGAATTCAGTCTATGCTGAAAACCCGACAAGCACTGTACAGCTGTTTCATCCTTATCGAGAATCAAGAGCAGTGCAGAACCCACAAATTTCCATGGCGATCTGAGAGCGCTACAAATCACATCAGGTACTGACTGGCTCTAAGCCGGTTTTGGTCTCTAAAGGCAATGTTTTGTTCCTGTTAACGGATGAGTTTATTGGTTGTTCCTCTGTTCGCCGAGCTTGGCAACCGACTTGGAAACATTTCGTCACCGTTTGGGAAGATATCATCGGTGCGGATCCAACTGCTCACCTGGTGCAGCGCTTCAGAAACGAACATACTGTGTGGTTTGATGTCAAAATGAATCAAACCTACTCTGATTGTGTCCAATCTTTCCTGTGCTAGCAATGATGTTGAGTCTGAAACAAAAACAGAGTTGCAATTTGAAACACTAATGAATTCGATTTGTCTGTAGTCTTTCTGCTGCCATCTCTACCCCATTTTATTGCAAACAGATTTGATTTCACCAAACCACCGTTGCAACAGTTTCAAGCGTTGAATCTTCCTGAATTCCGATGCTTCATCAAACGGCACTGCCAGCATCAGCGGACGAGCATGACGTAATATAAACAATAGCGAAGAAAACCCATTAGTCACGCAAACTGATTTGGAGGGGGGGCGTGGCTCGCAGTTAAAATTCGGAAACGATCACACTTGAAAGGTCCCGAAATAAGGAGAACGATGATTTTCATCCGAGAAGTGCTCACTCCAGAAGTGAATCAACACGTGACCACGTGTAGTTTCCGTGATTGAAGAATGAGTGGCAGTAAATCCTGTCTGAATGAGAGTTAATCACACTGGTGGCCAGGAGCTCATGGCCGAAGGCATAAGTGTTCAAACGACTTAGTCGGAGATCACGTGTCTGTGACACCCCGGAGTTTCGAGTGACGTGTACTGCTAATGATCCCCAATAAGGTTGCAACAGCTTCTCAGCTTTTCAGTACAGGTCGAAATCTCAGCCGAATAACGAAAGCATTTCGGTGAATGTCTTTATCAAAACATTAGGGTAAAGTCAGTCACACGTCATGCGTTTATCTTCCCGATTACTCACGCCCAATGAATGTCTGAGTAAGATTGGCTTGTTTCTTTTTCAAATTTAGGCTCACGAAATCCAGTGGGAAACCAACAAGAGCAGATGTCCAACTAAACAGTCGCAATTAACAAAACAGCAAGGTTTTGAGGTCAGCTTTACTTGTGTGGGCTGTGCTGATTGGCAGATGTGACCTCAGACGAAACTTCATCTTTCAATTGGTAGAGCACCCTTGGGTCACGGAGGAAAAGAACATACTGCTGTGAGATCACTTCACCAAATAATGGGTAAGTGAATAGAACTCAACTGAATGAGAACTTTTAGCATCCGTGCCAAAAGTTATGAGAAAGTACACAAATTTTACCCAAAAAGCTAGGATATCCGTCTGCGGTACGGAATTGACCCAGTTTATTGGTGATGAAAGGTCCCCAGCGCCGCACTGTCCAACTTTCACTTAAGATTTCATCATGTGTCTGAAGCCAATCAATATTAAATAGCTGAAAAACGCTGCATCGCTGTTTAATCCTTACTGAGAATCATTAATAGTGCGCATCTTACGAAACTCTAAAAGTTTATATATAACGCTTCTCGATTTCCAGCACACGTTGGCTTGGTTCGCAAGAAAAATTTGCCTTAAGGACGGTACGTTATGTACACATGTCCAACGCTTCAAGAGGAAAGACCTAGGCACATTTTAGATCTCAATATGAGCTGTGAAATTCAGTCTACCGTCAAAAGTGGCTGCCTAGTTATCCACATTTTGAGCTGACGAGTGAATCCTAAATTCTAATCAAGATATGATGTGTAGAGCACTGACTACCATTACTCTCAACGAGAATATTGTTAGTTGTGTAGGTCATGGTTGTACGAGGGCTGGGATACTGCCAGGGCGCCCACACCTAGACAGGAGGACGATTAGGGTCCTCAACCAAAGCCTTTGGCTCAAAACCCTAACCGCAAGGCAGCGGTGTTTGGCTGGAAATGCAAATGCATTACCATTTCTACGGAACAAGTCGCCACATGTTCCAACCCCCAACCTGGAGGGCCAGGAGACTGTGTTCGTCAGACCTCTAACCATTGACCAACCTGGTATGAGAGACTTTGTGAGTGTCGCGGGACACTCTCCAGTATAGCCCAATGGATCGCTGAGGTGCGCAAACCGTCACACCACGGTAAGGTTCAGTCTCTTCGTGACGGACCAGTCTCTTCGTGACGGACCAGTCTCTTCGTGACGGGATCCAGTCTCTTCGTGATGGACCATTACTCTACTTCTAGAATTTAAGCACAGATGGTTTGGATAGCACCGAAAAGCGCATTTTATGGGTAATTGTCGTTAAGGATGACCAGGTGAGCGAAACGTTGTAACAATGATACAACGCTGTGTTTGAATTTACAGGTATTCCAGGCGCGAATTTTAAAGTTAAAACTCCGTGGCTCGCGCCAACAGTAATTAGGATGCCGGAAAACCCTCATTCTGTGATACCGACATCAAAATTTACATTGTGGTTTAGAAAAATACAAATCAGGACCCAATCCACCTGCTTTTATGACCTTCATTCTCTTAGTCACGGTACAAAACTCGGTCCAGTTGGTCATCTCTTCCGCGCCCAACCGACGGCGTTCGGGCTATGCGTTTGTAGGGTATAACCCAACAAAACACGTCTCCAGTTTTGACGGGTCAGCAATAATCCAACGGAAATGGAAACTTAGATGACCGATAAACTCTATCAACTAACCAACTCGGGACAATGTTTTCCAAGACCGAGGTGATAAAAAGGAAGCTAAATTCGTGTACTTTGTCGATAGGTAGGAATGATCAAACAGGACGACAGAGAAACCAAATCTAACGTACAGTTGAGCGAATCGAGCAAGGCAAATTTGCTCTGCATCTGCTATGGACTCTGAACTGAAGCAAACTGCTAACTAGCTGGGAGCTGACGTTGTCCAGGAAGATCTATCTATAACCAAGAATGTCTGAAAGCTTCACGACCCCTAAAAACAAGCCAGCCTACCTAAACCCACTCTATAAGTGCAATCTGTTGGCGGATACAGTCGATCATGACTTCCTATAACGAGCGTTTCCGGTTGCCACTCTGCAATCTTCGTTCACAACTGTGCCTTTTTTCCAAGCTCAAGGAGAAAATGCCAGTCCTCGCCCCTATCGCACTGTCGTTGAGTGGGATTTTTTAGGCGCAGCTGTCTTGCTGTAACATCACTGGACTCAATGATTCAGCCAAAAGTTCAATAACGTCAACATAATCGAAACGAGATCAATCCGAACGATTCGTCCGACTTTATCTACCGATTACTTAATATACTGCTCTTATTGATCCACTCGCGTTCCTTGAGTAGGGTTGAAGCGGCTGCAATTCGACCGCTTTCAAAATTGAATCTGAATCGGCCTTGGTCATGTGACTCGAATCGATCGACCCCGTCGCCTAACGGCCTTCTAGACAACATCAAAGCATCCAATCAAATGCGACTTGGGTTTCGTTAATAATCATTCGTCTCTGCCTCTAAATTTCCTAACTTAGTGACGAATCTTAGTTGTTTATTTCAGTATTTATCCCTGTTTTCACCATTAGCTATTCACTTGACTAAGATCCAGGAAACAATGTTGTTTGCGACTGTGTTCTTGAAACAATGGGAAGACATTGATCTCATGAAAATCTGCGTCGAATGTAGTCTTTTGTACGTCCACAAGTCTCGCGTTGATGACCACACTGTAATTGTTCATTCGTTCGCTCAATTTGCTCCGTTCAGCCCACAGTTCTAATCGAGTGTTTTTAACCGTGTTTCGACATTTGTCTAACAAATTTAATGACGTAACGTGAAGAAATCCGTACCCAGCAACTGAGCCGAATTCAGTCTGGGCTCGGTGAATGATCGGTAGTTTTACCAATCGGTTCTTAACCTTTCCAGTTGACTGAGTTCGATTCAGCTCTTACGCAATAGTCAGACAGTGCGTGTATTTGTTCTGGTGTACGTTGCATTCCTCACCACCTAATGCCGGGAACACAGAACAGAACACTCAGAATAAGACCTTTTGGAAATGCCGAAATGGCACGTACATGGTTGGTTTATACTGCAACAAATCGCGGGGAGGGAAATCGTCGCATCCAGCAGACCGCTGGAACTTCAGACAACAAGAAGTTCCATGTATCCACGTTTTGGTAAGTTTTCAACGGGAAAACGAAACCGTTCATGTTGTGCTCGAGGTCACAGTTGGTACATTTGTCTGAGTTGCGAATGGATTTCATAGTTTGGGCAAAATTATTTTCAGTCTTGAGCTGCCCCTGAAAGCTCCCATTTCCTCCCAAAAAAACAATTTGGAAGTCAAAACACAAACCGACGATGATGGTATGGTGACATGCGATTTTAGGCAGAGGGGAAAACAACAAGACAGCGGGATGCCTAAAAAACATTATCCTCCAAGCTAAATGGCTTAACGACACAACGAAAATGAGTGACAAAAGAATTTGAAGCCTCGTTTGTGATGTTTCCACGCAACTGAATGTGCTGCACCAGGTCGCCTCATGTTTCAGTCGCTACGATATTCCAGATATCGCGATGCATGTATATTCGTCATGCACTACTCGAGGACTGCGTCTACCTGATGAGTCCCAAGAAGGGCGAAACCGGTCGTTGGCTGTCGACGAATTTTCAGTAACATGAGTAGCGTATTACAAATATAC